GCCATAATAATCATATACATTGTATATTGACAAAACAAAAATTTAACGAAAAAAAAAAAGAAAAAACTAGGATACATTCATATAACAATATATCAATAATGGTAAGCTTCACATAAGGGTAGTTATAGCTGATTTTATGACACTTAATATTTCTGAAACTTTCCCAATTTTAATGAATTAAATGAATCAGGCCACTAACTACTTATAATAATATCGAGTTTGAAAAGTTTATTTTCTAAGGAGCCCAGATATTCACCCTTTCTTCCTTTCTAAATCCCGATAAGTAACTGGAGAGAAGAGATGAGGTCAGATCCACAGGTGCTCTATGAAACAGGAAAGGCTCCCACGCGGGGACAGAGACGGAGAGGAATCCCCCGTGGTGAGTGGCGAGATGGGGCATGGGGTGGACGTCCACTGAGTTCCAAACATGCAGCACAGAGGAAGAGATCATAAGAAAAAACAACAGCAAACTGCTTCCAAACTCCTCAAACCTGAAGTCATCCTTGATGTTCCCAATTTCACACTCCATAGACCATCATCAGCAAATTCCGAACAAACCTTCTCTGGACATCCGGACTCTGAGCACCTCCACCAACTAGCTGACACCCTCTCCCGGCTGAGCTGCTCCAGCAGCCTCCTGGCAGCCCCGCCTGAGCTCACCACTCCACTCCTGCCCTGTGCTGGCTGCTGTCCCTTTGTGCCTCCGCCTGTGCTGGCTGCTGTCCCTTTGTGCCTCCAGGCCCGCACTGCTCCTGTATCTACCCACGCGTCTTGGAAGTCTGATCTCTATGGGCGCAACAGTGGGCACCTTCTGGCTCCCAGTTGGGTTTGGCCAAGGGGAGACAAAGGCCAGGAAGGGGGCAGCAGGAGGGGAGTGAGGTCAGGGGGTCACAGCAGGTTGGCTGTGTTCCTTCCCTGAGGCCACGGCCCCTGACCGGGGGCCATCTGACCACTCATGGGGAAAGGATACTAAAAAAGCAAGTCCTAGAAGTGAAAACCTAGAAACATTAAAACACATCACCTTGATAAAAATAGGGGAGATGCAAATGGAAATGTGATAACATTTCACATACATCAGGCTCCTAACACCAGGGGCTGGCAGGCCTGTGGGGAAATGAAGGACACAGCCCTGGTGGGACCTCTGCTGGCCTGGCCACTCCGGAGAGCAGAATTGAAGGTACGCACCACATGTGGCCCCCCACACTAAAGCTGATGTCATACGTGCCCTATCATGCCGCAGTCTCAATCGCAATGTCCCCCCTGAAGACATTCTCCCCT